TAGGGGCGGGGAACATAACCTCAAAATTTCAGCCTTCTAGCTTTTCTGGTTCCCGAGTTAGCGGTTTTCCCGCCAAAACTTTAACCCCCTTGTACGCGGGGCCTAAACGTGCTTGAGGGTTGGTACCGCGGTCCTGGGGTGTCACTTGGGTTGGGAATCCACTGGCAAAATTGCGGCGCCGGAGCCTGCTTGGGTGCCGAGTTGAAATATCCGGACAGACGCACACACACACATACATACACACACACACATACATACACACACACACACACACACACCGGGGTCGTCACAATATGCGTTTTTGCATCTGCATATTACGCAAAAACGCATAATAAACCTGCTATTTCTTCCTTTCGGCACTGCAGTTCTTCCAACTGGAACTATTCGGACAATACCCAAACTGCGAAGGAATAATCGCAGTGAGGCCTGGATCCATGCAGGAACGAACACAGCAGAAGTGGAATTCACATGAACCCCGAGCACCGGATTTCGCCGGAGGTGTCCACAAAGAGAACAGATTTGTTGCCTAGTGGTGCTAAAACCCTTCCGCAGATTTGTCTCGCCGATCCTCCGTTTACCTACTTCTCTGTATTTTTTTTTTTTTTTTCACAAATTTCCTTTCGTGTCAAAAAAAAAAATGCCAATTAGCAACTGTTCAGATCCCCAGGCCAGTTTCTTGCGGTCCACGAAGTACCTTCGGAGGAAGATCTTACGGTCCGGAGCGGATATGAGGCTTATCTACAGAAGCTGATTTTACGGCCGAAAATGTACGTGCGTGTGTGTGTCTGTGCATGTACGTGTGCGCATACTGTATGTATGTACGTGAATGGCTACCACTTCTCGTAACAAGAATTTCTGAACAAATGTCGCAATTAATAACTTAAGCTTCATTGTTCAGAATGAGTTATGACCGAAAAAATTTCAACAGAATCTGATGCTCAGCGAAAATACGAGATCCCTAATACAGATCATTTGTGCTCGGCGTGAAATGACATCGGTTTCTGCCGGGACTCAGAAGCAGCCTCGGTTCCAGGTACAGACACAGCACTTATCCTCATCAAGTCCGCTTACCTACAGTCCCACAAGGACGAGGCCACTAAGCATAACGTTGCTCAGCAATCAAACAAGCATAAAATAAATGGAACCGATCTCAGCAAAATTCAATCACTATTTCACATTGAAACTATGACCGGAAGCAGCATAGGGCGAGAACCAACTCACGGGGAAAATAATCGCACTGAAGGGAATGTAGCTCGGGGAATTTACGATTATGTATGAAACCAAGGCAGAGCCCAAGAAGGTATATGTGAAAACCCCTAGCGGAACCAGGATTTGCCGAGCACTGCTAAAAATTATGCATCTAGGCGATCCCGCACAAAAAAACACACACATACGCATTAAAACAATGATTCGAAAAAGAAGTGCAAAGAGGAGATAAAGCAGTGGATGTCTACTAATAAGACATACATAAATACATACATACATACATACATACATACATACATACACACATACATACATACATACATACATACATACATACATACATACATACATACATACATACATACCGTACATACATACATACATACATACATACATACATACATACATACATACATACATACATACAATAATGTACATACATACATACATACATACATACATACATACATACATACATACATACATACATACAATAATAAATATTCGTACGTGCATGCATACACACATAAATACACAAAAATACACACATAAAAACCAGTACTTCAGGCTGAGCAAAACATATGAGGAGAGGAAGAGAAGATAAACTGTAGCTCTGTAAAAGTTGTTGATTTTTAAAACACAATAACTTGCAAAAAAAAAAAGTGAATAAGCGTTGTTATGAGACAAGAAATACATGTCGCAGCTAACTAAAACATAGTGGCACGCAAAAATAACATCAAAAAAAAGAAATGCCAGGTGCTGCATTTCACATCACCAGGATTTATGTCTTGACGAATACTCGGGAGCAAGGATGAACAACTAGCTAGTGCACCTAAGTAGAAGGCACTATTCCCGCACGAATAAACATGAAAATGCCGGCAATATAGTGAATGAACCGGTTTTTTTAGAACACAGGGTAAATAGAAAGATCAGTGAGGCAGGAACAACAAATGAGGATACAGGTGATGGCTTAAACTATCCCTTTGAGAAAAATCAAACTAGACAGTTTCGGTACCGAGACAATGTAAAAGGCACAGTCGCCACCTCTTGGTGGGAGCCACCTGGAGATAAAAACATGCAAGTACCAGTGGAAGATGCCAAAAAGGTCCAAAAACAGTATGCACTAGCTAATCGAAAGATGGTGATTGTGGCTCATAACTCTGCCGCCGGAAAAGAACGAGCAAGAAGCAAGCACCAAAACTGCTTCTATGCAACCGCAAGAATCATGGACTCTTTAGGAGGTCACCGGGTAAAATGGATAATCCACTGAAAGCTCGAACAAAAGCTAACTGAAATCAATGAGTGCTGAAAAAATTTGATGCGTCGAGGTAGATGGCTACGCCAGTACAGCGAAACATGAATGAATGAGAATCCAAGGTCAACCTGGACGCTACAATCAACTCACCAATCAGAAGGCCAAACCCATTCTACGGAAAACATGATAGCGGCGGTAGTAAAATGGATTTTTTCGAAGTCATACAAAGAAGGCGCTGGAAGAAACGATATCCTGGCCAGCGATGGAAGGCAGTTACAAAAGTGATAAAAATTTAATCACGTAATCTTCAAAAACAGGCGATTGTACGCGATCCATAGATGCCATAAATGTCGTCAGTGAAGTGATAGCATTGGCCAAAGTTGACAAGGCACAATTTCCTGATAATCCTCTTCACGCCAACTGCGCCGTACAACGCTGGCACAACGTTCCAAAAGCGAGACGCGATCAACTGAAACTATGCTAAATTAATATGATTCAATTGGGAAAGCCAATAATTATGCGACCATGGTATCAGCTATCTACGAACTCCCCAACCAATCTCTGACGGGGTTGAAGAGCGATGTGTAAAAAAATCCACCGCCATCGATGTTTGCCACAAAAGCACTTTAAGAACTTCAGATTCTGGGCATTTTCATGCAACTTGGGCCAGTTTACGAAACGAAGAATAAAGCTACGAAACAAGAAAGTATAGCAATCAGCCTGCGAGAAAAAAAAAACAGCAAGGAAAGACAAGAGATTAATTTAAAGATTTTGTGCAGTGGAGAAATGTGTCAGGAAGCAGTCTGCGTTTCACCCTTCAGTTGTAAACACAAACCGAACATAGCGTGCGTGTAGCAGTGGGAATCATCAGTACAGTCTCCTTCCCGTCATGCTTTTATGACGAGCACGTATCCAATTATTCAAAATTACAGCAAAGAGAAGACAATGGATAGGTGGAAGAAGAGGTGAGGAACTATTTTTAAGGGGAAAAGAATGCTAAACAGGGTATCTGTGACCAGCGGTTCCGCTTGGGGCAATTCATCGTATCATACATCAGTCCAAACACCTCAGTTTCAAACACCAAACTGCGCTTAGAGATTTATCGAAACAGCAGACAGTAGGTAATAACAGGTTCCCATATAAAAGTGTCAGGCGAGACACGATATATCATTATGTTTCTGACTTTGTCGTCTCCAGAAAAATGAATTTACTAAGAATGGGTCGATTCCTAAAACCGATCGTTCTATCCCAAAGTTATCGAAATCTCTGCGTCTATATAGGCCTAATAATTGTATGCCCCTCCCTCCCACCCCCCTCCCCCACCCTCCCTCACCCTTGCACCTAAATCTGCCAAAGAGAGCAAATCAGTGCATAACACGGAGCATTCGGGATACTATAACCTCTTCCACGGTAGTTCAAATTGTCATGAATTTGTATGTTGAAGAAGATGGGGCATTTCGAATAAATCGTGAAATTCGGAGGGATGTAGCTCCGAACGGCACTTTCTTCGCTCAAAACAAATTAGCAGTGTGCAGGAATGACATAACTTCTGTTCAATTCAATGGAAAATTTTTTTTTAAGCTTACACAGCTCCAACTGCTCGACAGCACGAGGCAATTTCGCAATGATCAAATCCAGACACGTTTCGTTGTTGTTATTTCGTGCCAACAGTGCTGCGCCATGTTCAAGGAGTACTTTCATCGCTGCAATTCGTGCTTTTCCGCTCAACATCATCGCATGTAGTGGAGTGTTACCTGTAATATTTCAACAGCTGAATGCAGCAGAATATCAAAGAGTACTTCTGTGTTCCTTAGACGCTTCATCAGATCACGGGGTATACTGGACGTTGTCGCGATGATCGTGTAACAAAGTAAATCTTAAAGGACTAAAAATGATGCATTTGTTTTCCTGGCGACAGGTCAGGAAAGCAAATGCATCGTTTTTGAAAAAGATTATAAGTGATGGTGCCGTTTTAGCGACCTCCAAAATGATGATGCGCTTACATACAGGCGGAGGAAAAGAAAACGAAGATATACAGCTCAAATCAGCTACGACCTGACAACACCTGCATCCGAAAAAACGTGTAAATTTCAAAAATAAAACAAATCGAATAATCTGCTAGAACTGACAGGAGTGTATCCACACAACAGCAATTCTAGCTCTCACTAAGCAAACCTGCAGAATCCTTTTCATTAACGTCCATTCCGGCCAGCAGAAGCATCTTGATGATAACTGGACATGGGAATCGATTTGTTATCGGTATGTCAATGTCTTCACAGGCTACGTGAAGAGTATGCAATTTTAGCGTCTTCGAAACTCTCGCAAGCCGATTAACCATACGCATTACGGTGATGTCAAGCGCCTGATCATAAATGCTTGCCAGCTGAACATTGAGCGGTGCTAAGACACGCTTCACCTGAAGTATTCAGAAAGTTTACGCACACCAAGCGGGACTTTTCAAACAGCAACAATGCAAGGAGTGTTTTTCAATCCGTACTGGAAACAGAGCGCGTTAAATGATGCAATGGAAATGATGAAGTAAATGAGGATGGAGGAAAACCGAAATTGTTAAATTTAAAAATACCCACAATTCTAAACATGCCAGCTAATGTGTGTGTTTGTATCGATGCGAATGTAAAAAGACTACCAAAACTAATAAAAATCCGAATAAGCTGACAACTCTAATATACCAATTAAACCATACGTAAATGCCTACGACATAAAGACTATTTCTGCTGTTTTTTTTTTTTTTTAAATCTTCACGCATAGAAACACCCTGTTCGGAGCGGAAAAGGTAACACTGTCCAGTGTAGCAATCCTTTTCAGAATACACCCAGATCAGATATTATTGAGGTTGTGAAGGAGAATAGCAAAATAACTAGATAAGAAGCTAAGTTTCACAGAAAATGAAATAGGAATCATTTTGAAAGAACAGAGGGAGAAAATAGCTATAAAACCCACGTAAAAAGGAGATGTTCGAGGAAAAATGCTTACCAAAATCATCATTTGCAATGCATGTAGCACCAGTGTATGCATATATGTTTCGTCATCTTCCAAATCTTCGATAAACTCATCGCTTTTAATTCGAACATCACCGGAGCCAAAACTAAAAACAAAACATTTCAACTGCTTTCACAGATTCATGAATTCCAATGTTTAAACGGTGAGACAAATGTCCCACATTAGTTTAAAGGTCAAAACTTTCTAAATTTGCTTTTTACAAGACAGATAAGCACTTAGAAACGGCCAAAATGATGACAGTCCTCTCAGCAATACTGCTGCCGGGATTCGTTGGCTAGGGAGTCCATGGATGCCATCTCCGGAAATTGCTTGAGAAACCAGCTGAAGACGAAGGATTATCAGGCACGTTTGGAACATCAATACTCTCCTCTCCCCTCCCCCCCGGCTCCACCTCCCTCCCAATATTTAAACGAAACGATTCAGCAACTACTACTGGCACTATTCCAGTTTAACCAGGTAACCGTCACTCCGGCTCTTAGTATTCACTTGATAAAAAAAAAACACGAGCAGACATTAATTCAATGAACAAACTGCAATGCTTCAGCCAAAAATGCTTCAGAGGGAGAGTGTCATGCAAAACGGTAACAAAGCTTTGTACCTGCAGCTGCGAGCAGAGACCCTCGCGGCGCACCTTCTCACTATCGCAATAACCGAAGCTTTTTGTAAGCAATAATGCAAATCAATGGGTATTTTCAAATGATAGTTATTCGAGATTGCAGAGAGGGAGAAGACTCGAGATTCTTGCTCAAGAAAAAAAGACCTAGCAGTAAAAGGGTACGGGATATATGTAGCGAATAGAGGGAAGATGAGGGCAGGGTTGGAACCCAGGCTGGAACGCACCAGGCGGGCCGGTGCGATTATGCGTTTTTGCACCTTTCATGTCGTAGCAAGATCGTAAGGAATCAAAGTAGCTAACCCTGTGAAACACTGGCCCTCGAAGTTCAGGAA